AGGGTGGTGGCCAGAGGGAGGGCAAGGTTTTCAGCTTCCGTGGAGACCCACTCTCCTTTCTCTTTCCCCTTTCTTCCCGATGCTCCTTCCTTAAATCCCCCCCAGCCGCTCACCCCCCAGCCCTGGCTGTGACCAAGGTGGGGAGAGGGCAAGGCAGGGCAGGAAGGAGGGCCTCCCCTGCTGGCTCTGCAGGGAAGCTGGCATGGAGGGAGGGTGGCTTGGTGGCACCTCTAGGCCCTTTCAGTGTGATTCCAAGCTCCATGACATCTGAGGCGTTACAGCCCAGACGCAGCGATCCCCCTATTTTCAGCCGCCAGGAGCGGAGTGGAGGGAGATCAGAGGAGCTGCACGGAGGAGGGAGGCAGGTGGGAGGGCTGTGGAAAGGAACAGGTGGGGGAGGGAAGGTGAGTCAGCCTGAGCTGACAAGCAGGAGTTTGCATCTGTGCGCTGGGCTCTCAGCACGCGGCCCCTCCCCACTGCACTGGTGTGCACCTTTGGCGTCAGAAAGTCCTGGCTCTGGGCTCTTGTCAAACGTGCCTTTCCTGTGCCCACAGGTTGCCTTGCATGTGACCAGAGAGACGAGGCCCTTCCTAAAGAGCAATTGCACACGTGTCTGAACAAGCGACAAACTGGTGATGAAGAAGATGCCTTGAGAGGGACCCTGAAATGTCCTGTTACTCTGGACAGGGGTCCTTTTGGGGGACCCATGTGTACCCTCTCCACCACGTGCCTTGGCTGGGCATCCTCTAAGATGTGTTCCAGGCTTGAAGGTTCTGAGTCCAGAAATGCTTGAGCCTAAGTCCTCTGCAGTTACTGCTCGGGGTCCAAGGTGCTAGGGCGTCCGGAGGAGGAGACTAGCAGGAGAGTGGGAGTGGGGGGCGGCCCTCCCTCATGAGGCACTGGCGACTTGGGGCACAGGTGAGACACCTGGGGGCAGACTGGCAGCTGAGTTCTTTCCTTGCTGAGAGGCCCTCTGCAGGCTCTTGGAGGTCCCTGCAGGTCACAGGTGCACTCTGGGTCATCTGGGCGGGGGAGGGGCAAGCCCTGCCTGGGGCAGCCGCAGTGAGGGAGAGGCTGCCGCCTCTGAAGCCCTCACCCCATTCAAACCAGTCCCTTAGTTCTCTGGGCCTCCACATCCTCATCAGTAAAAGGCCATAACCTTTGTCCCGCTTTCCTCTAGGCGTGTGGCGAGGTTTAGTGGCATAAAGGATGTGAAAGGTATTATGCAATGATGGAGACATTATGGAGTTATTTGTGGAGGGACTTGGCTCCAGCTAGTCTGTTTCTCCAGGAAAGAGGTCTCAGGTTCCCTTGTTAAAGCGGGGCGGGATGCACAGTGATTTACCCAACTGGCAGTGCTGGTGAAATGTGGCCATTCACAAGGCAGCCCACCGCACTCCACAGTGCACGAGCTTACCTGCTGCTTCCCTGTGTACACTGAGGCAGCTGGTACCTGTGCAGGGATGATTCCTGAGACCATGGAGGGTCTGCTTTCTTTCAACCTGATAGCTAGGGGCACAACTGGCATGCAGAATAGCAGAAGGATCCCTCAAACTCAAAGTCTCTGTGATAGGTTACAAGTATGGCCACAGTTCCCTCCTGTGGTATAATTCCTTTGCAACGTGACTTTACCATTCTCCCAAGAGTGTAGGCTCCGTTTCCCACTCTTTGAATCTGGGCTGGCCTGATGACCTGAACTGGGCAATAGAATGCAGTGGAAGTGATGCCGTCCAAGTCCAAGGCTAGGCTCTGGACACCTTAACCTCCTAGCTTTGCCCTCTTAGGTTGCTGCCATGAGTCACCGTGGAAGGAACTGGACGTAGCTTATTGTAGGAGGAAGAGCCGGGAGGGGAACAAAGCCCCAAGACAGCCAGGCCAATGCCGACGTGCGGGTGCGCGTCGGGCAGTTGTTGCGTCTCAGTTCAAGGGACAGGCCCTCATCCTGGCCTCGGGGTCCCAACTCTCCACCCAGCCTAACACCATCCAAGGGCCAAGGTGGCTGCTGTTGAGGCCTCAAGGGGCCATCTGGGTGACCATCTGGGTTGTCCAGCCCAGCTGACACTCCAGCTGCCGGGGGCGAGCCCAGGAGAAACCAGACAAGCGACTCCCAGCGCAGGACCTGAGGAGAAACGGTCATCGCTGTCTAAATCGAGAAAGAAGAATACCCAAGGTCCCACAGTGAGCAGAGACACAAGCCTGGACTGTGACCACGTTCCCTTGTTAAACTAGCGCCTGCCACCACGTCCTGCAGCCAACTTCGTCAGCACGTGTGTGTACGTGCACAGTGCGTGGGGTGTGACTCGGCTGGCCCATTCCCACTTCCACCCGAGTTGACACAGGGCCGGGATGGTATATCCCATTCTGCAGATGTGAAACTGAGACCAACAACTGGCCCGGCGACTTGTGACTATTGCACAGCACCCTAAGTAGCCGAGCTGGGACCAAACCCAGGTTCTCTGATGCCAACTCTGCGGTCCTTCTGTTGACTCGAGGAAGGAAAATGGTGGATGAAAAATTTCCCTCCAAGGTCGTCTCTCAGAAAGGGCACACACAGGCACAACACCCCCACCCAACAGACACACATACTACACACAGGCACACACAGATACACACAGACACACATACTACACACAGGCACACACAGATACACACAGACACACATACTACACACAGGCACACACAGGCACACACATACTGCACACAGGCACACTCAGAGACACACAAACACACAGAGACACACGTATACTACATACAGGCACATAGAGATACACATATACTATATACAAATACACACATGCTACACACAGGGACATATGGACACATATGTGCTTTCTCTCTCTCTCTCTTTCTCCTTTCCAACTCTCCATCTTCAACCAGTCTACCCTATTGGACCATATACTTTATTAAAAATATATAATTACAAACTCCATTGTCAATCTGGCTGGGCCTGGGATCCCAGAGGGGCTGCAGGAAGGGACAGGCCCTCATCCTGGCCCTCGGGGTCCCAACTCTCCACCCAAGCCTAACACCGTCCAAGGGCCAAGGTGGCTGGCTTTGAGGGCCTCAAGGGGCCAGCTGGCTGGGCAGGGGAGGGGCTAGGCTTGCCAGGTGGGGAGGGGTGGGGTGCACAGAGGGGCTGCATCTCCTTGTCCTGCAGGTAGAAATGGCAGAAGGTGAATTTGGTGTCTCCGTCTCTCTCCATTTATAGATATTTACAAAAGAAAGTCATAAGCAACAGGCCACAGTCATGCAAAAGAAACGCACCCCCCTCCCTCCCCCAAACTAAGCCCCTGCCCACCCTAGAACCCCAAGATGCCCCCCAGCAGTCCAGCCGCCTTCCCCGAGTTCTGGGAATAAAGGGGGAGCGTCCTTGAAGAGTCGGTGGGGAAAGGGTGGTGGGTCTGGGGCAGAGCCGCCCTGGGGAGGTGCTGGGGAACCAGGCTGACCCGGCGGAGGGACGGTGGGCCCTTCCCGGCCTGAGCTCTGGAGTCCGCAGGAAGGGGTCTCCCAGTCTTTGACGGCCCCACCTTCCCCTGGAAGGTCCACGGAGCCAGGGTCAGCTCTGTCCTGAGTGTGCGAGGGGAGTCCTGGCGCCCACCCCCAGCAGAGGCTCGAGTGGGCAGCGGTGCGGGCTGGGCCTGGAGGTCAGATGGCGGACTCCCTGCGGTAAGAGATGTTGTCCAGCGGGAGGGTGGCCTGCATGCGCTCCAGATCCAGGTGGCTGCCAAACTCGAGCATTCGGATGATGCCCGCCTCCTCCTTGGAGCCCGCCTCCAGGCCCAGGCCCGCGGCCACGGCAGCAGCGGCTGCCGCCTCCTCCTCCATCTCCTCTTCCTCCTGGCTCATGAGGGCCAGCTCGTTCTCGTAGCAGAAGGCACTGGGCGGGGGCGGCGGGGCGGGCAGCACGGTGATCTTGCTTTCCTGCAGCTCCCGGGCGGAGCAGCAGGGCGTGCCTGCCACCTCGTAGGTCTTGTGGAAGCGAGAGTAGTCCACTTTGTAGTGGCTCTTCTCCTCGAAGACCACGGGCTCGAAGCGGTGGCCCCATAGGATCTCGCTGGCCAGGTAGGAGCTGCGGGCCTGGGTGGTCATGGCCGTGGCCTCCACCATTCCCTCAAGGATGACCACGATCTCGAAGTCCTCCGACTCCAGCTCCTCCTTGCCCATGCCGTAGAGCGGGCTGTCCTCGTCGATCTCGTGGACGATGATGATGGGCGACACCAGGAAGATGCGGTCCAGGCCGATGTCGTAGCCCACGTTGAGGTCCCGCTGGTCCAGCGGCAGGTACTCGCCCTCCTGGGTCATGTAGGGCTTGATGAGCTGGGCCCGCACGTGGGCCTCCACGATGTGGCTCTTGCGCAGGTTGCCCACGCGCCACATGAGGCAGAGCTTGCCGTCGCGCACCGAGATGACCGCGTGGTGGCTGAACAGCAGCGTCTGTGCCCGCTTCTTGGGCCTCGCCATCTTGGCCATGATGGTGCCAATCATGAAGGAGTCGATGACGCAGCCCACGATGGACTGCACCACCACCGCGATGACTGCCAGCGGGCACTCCTCCGTCACGCACCGGAACCCGTAGCCGATGGTCGTCTGCGTCTCCACCGAGAACAGGAAGGCGCCCAGAAAGCCGTTCACGTGCATGATGCAGGGCTTGGGGGCCGCGGGGGCTGCCCCGCCACTGCCCGCCGGGCCCCCCGCCGAGGGCGCCGCCGGGCTGCCCTCCAGGTCACCGTGGAAGAAGGCGATACACCAGAAGAGAAGGCCAAAAAAGAGCCAGGAGACAAGGAAGGCCGCGGAAAAGATCATGAGCATGTAGCGCCAGCGCGTGTCCACGCAGGTGGTGAAGATGTCCGCCATGTAGCGCTGCGACTTGTTGCTCAGGTTGGCGAAGTAGACGTTGCATTGGCCGTTCTTCTTGACGAAGCGGTTGCGGCGTTTCCGCCGGGGCACGTGGGCCTGCCCGTTGCGGCTGTGCCCGTGCATGTCCTGAGGCCGGCGTGGTCACCTGGGAAGATGCAGGGCCTGGGGAGGAGAAGCCGGACAGGTGAGGCACCAGGAGCCAGGGGCTGACACGAGGGAGCCCAGGCTCAGCCACAGACGCCCGGAAGGGGAAGAGACTGGACCAGAACCCAAGACTTCCCCAGCCCCGGCAGGCAGAATGTGACTGTTGGGGCAGTTGTGATGACAGGGCCTGAGCCAGTGTCCCCAGGCTGGCCCCGCTCTGGGATTGGGGCTGGCTGACCAGGAAGCTAAGGCCATTAAAGTCCAGGTCCTAGTCTCTGTCCCTCAATGCTGCCCCTCCAAGCCTCCTTTTCCCACTGTCCTGGAAGCTTCCTGATGCCCATCTTGGCTCCACCTCCCCCCACCCGTCCTGCCTGCCCTGAGCACAGGGAGCTGAGACACTCCGGCCCTGCTAACCTCCCTGGGTTCCGCCTCTCGGGGGTGGGCACCCTCTTGTGCCATCCAGTGCAGCAGCCGCTGGCCTGTGGCTCTTTACAGCAAATTAAAGTTAGACAGAAGTTTGACGGCAGTTCCCCACTTGCACACGCCACGTTTCAAGTGCTCAGGAGGCACACGTGGCTAATGGCCACCATCCTGGACAGAGAAGATACGGCAGCTGTTTCCATCACTGCAGAGAGTTCTTCTGGACAGCGCTGGGACCCGCAGCCCCACCTTGGTCCGAGCTCCTCTTTTAGAACCCCCCCCCAGCTTGGAGTCCCTGAGCCCCAGATGTTGGCCTGTTCTGGCCCCCACACTTGTTGGGAGTGGTGGTGAGTGGAGAACACAGTGTGGCGGTCAGGAGGGAGGAGGGGGAGCCCTGAGCTTTGACCCCTGTGCAGGCATCACTACTCCCATGTCACAGGTGGCTCAGAGAGGAAAAGCGACCTGCCCAGGGCCACACAGCTGGCAGGGGACCCAGACTCAAGTAGCATCAGCATTAATAAGCAGAGGTGTGTAGACCAGGAGTGGGAGGGGCAGATGCACCTACTACCTAGCTGGGCTGCCCTCTCTGAGCCTCAATATCCTCATCTGTAAAATGGGACTCAAATCTCCCCGCCCACCACAGGACAAAGGAGATAGTAGCTGCTCCCTTAGAGCCAGCTGCCCCCTGCTTCCCTCCCGCTTCACGTCCCAGGAGCTGGTGAGAGGCTGGATTTGACTGTCAGCGTCCCCAGCTGTCCCAGCGGAGGAGCCCCCTCTCCCCATCTAGTGGCGGGATGCACCAGCTGGGCCCATGGAGGGCAGATCCTCTTCCCCTCCCTGCCACCAGGTCCCCAGGGAGTGAGACGGTGCTGCTCCGGCCCGGCCGCTGGCAGGGCCAGGACCCGGCCTGGGTTCCTGATAACATTTTGGCCCAGAATTATATAAGGCTGGAAGTTTCTATTTTCTGTTCTATTCTTCTTCCTGATCTAATTGTGCATCTGTGGCAATGTTTATACACTTCTCCGGTTCAGGACAACTCGGTTGCCGCAGCAACCGGTGCGCGCCAACGCTATAATTTAGAGATCAACAGCTTCAGAGCCTGCCTCTTCCCGAAAGAAACTCCCTCTCCCAGCCCAGGGGTGAGCCCTGCCCCCCTCCTCCCCCGAGGCCACCCCCCTCCCCGACTCCCAGTTCTTCTTCCAGCTCCCCTGCAAAGGAGCTCCCTGGTCCCCACTGTCCCGGGTTGGAGTCCCAGATCCACCATGTGACTTGAGTTGACTCCTCTGAACCTCAGTTTCCTCACCTCAAAAGTGGGAGCAATGAGCTCCTTACTCTGAAGACCCGCCATCATGTGGGCATGGCCTCTCATGCAATGCTGGCCCTCCAGAGCTGGGAGTCCCCACCCTCCCTGCCACCTCCCCCAGAGTCCCAGCAGCGGGGCTCCAGGTGTAGCCCTGAGGGGATTGGGGACCAGGTATGCCCTCTGGTTGGCAGAGAGTTTTCTAGGAGGTCCTTCCCCCTCTGCTCTGTCCCACTGCCTTGAATGTCCCCATCAGCATGCAGACTGTCAGAGCAGGAGGAATGTCAGACCACCGAGCTCAAGACCCTTATGTGAGGCCAGGGAAGTCCATAGACGGGAAGGACGTGCTAAGGGTCCCCGAGCGGGGCTGTCGGGCCAGCCCTGAGCAAGGCCTCCTCACCCCTACCCCTGAGCTCCTCATACATTTCCTCCCTGGAGAGGGATGGGGTGGGTTTGGGGACAAGGGAAGAGAGGGCACCAACCCAGCCCCAATAGGCCCTGGACCACCATCTGCAGGTGTCCAGGAAAGAGGCAGAGGGGACAAGAAGTGGCAGCCTGGGCCTCTGGTAGCTAAGGACATTAAGCTGCAGAGACCGTGGGGGCCTTGCCCAAGGACAAACACAAACCCAGGGTTTGGGGGCCCCCAATTCTCTGCACAGTGGGGCTGGTGGGTTCAGCTGGTATTGCACAAGAGGCTGTTCGTGGGGTTCCCACCTTGTGAGAGGGGCCCCGGGGAGGCCTGGGGGTGAGGGGCTGAGGGAGCTCGTCCCCCCATGCCATAGATATGGGGCCTCCCCTGGCCCAGCACTGCCAGCTACTCCCCATTTGTGACGGGGGTGGGACATTCAGCCAAGCCACGTGGCCCAGGGAAGCCCCAGCCTCGGCTTCAACCCTCACCCCCCAGCTGCTGTCCTTCCATCACCCCGCCCCAATAGCCATCAGCCCCCACAGTATAGTCCAAGGGGGCACCCCTGCCCTACCCCCACAGGCCACAGCAGGTTTCCTGGGCCCCTGCCATCTGTCAGGCCCTGTGGAGGGGTCCCAGCGCTCGGCACACACTGGGCAGCGCCAGCTCCCGGCATTCCCCAGACCAGGCATCCTCCGCCCAGAGCCGCCCCCGTGCTGCCCCCTCACCCCAAAGACCCTCAGTCTACAGTGACCTGCTCAAATGAGCACATGCTCCTGCCACCCCTTTGGCAGGACTGAGAGGCTCACTGCCAATGCCCGGGCTAACCCGAGCAACACCTCCCCAAAAAGAGGAAAGTAGGAGCTTGCCATTTTGCTTTCACAGCTGCGGGGAGAGAGCCAGGTTTTCTTTTCCTTGTTTGTCATAAGGGGCTTCCTGGGGAAAGCAGGAAAGGAAGGTGGGCAAGAGGAGGGGCACAGATGGCGGGAGAGGGACAAGAGGGCTTGACAAGAGGGTCAGTACCATCGGCCTCCCAACAGAGATACTTTATTAAAACAAAAAACATGCGCTTGCTGTTCAGGTACCTGCACTACCACGATTAGACGGCACGTTTCTGGACAGGAACTGGTCTGATTTGCGTGTGCCGAGCGTGCACTGAAAGGAGGCGGTTTCAGGCCTGTTTGCCACCAAGGAAGCCCTGGGAGGCGGGGAGGGGCCGGGCCCCTCTGTCACTCTGCAGCATGATCTCCAACAAGTCCTCCCTCCAAACCCCATGTGGCTCGTGGCAAAATGAGCAGAAGGAATACGACAGAGGCACTGTCCTTTGCTCTAGAGTAGCATCCTGGGACTCTTTCAGGGGCAAACATTCTTTTAGGAAGTGACGGGGATGAGAGATGCCAGCTGCCTTTAAAATGTAATGTCCTTTCTTGGCAGATGAAGAGTTGACAATGCCATGCCGGTTACCACACTTTTTATTTGATTTTTCTGTGCTAGGGCCATCCAATATCTACACACGCTTTGTTCACATTTCACTGGACAACTAGGGAAACTGAGACCAAGGACAGGGTGTGGCACCATGTCCATAGGGACACAGTGAAGGACAGTGGGGCCTTGGGGTAGATCCAGAGGTGCCCGCAGGGCTGCCATCGCTGCCACCAGCTGTCCTGCCCCTTCCTGAGGAATTAGAGAGGGGCTAGGGACCCTGCAGGCCAGGGAAGACCACCCAACCTTGTCAACTTGTAGGTTCTCCTGACGATTTTGAGACACCAAGTGCCTCCTACTTGCCTACACCTGTCCCTGCATAAGAAAAGTTGACACACTGGCAGGTCCCAGAGACCTGGGCAGGCTGCAAGGGCAAATCTCCCTCTGCACACTCTGGCCACCAACGGGAAACATGGTGGGTGGCACCTTGGCTGGCCCTGCTGGCTCCAGACAGCACCAGCCCTTCCCGACACTCAAGTCCCTTGGCGGGGGTAGGGGTGAGGGGAGTGCAGGAGCCAGTGCCCGTCTGCTGGGTCCTTACAGATCTCACTCTGTCCCACCAGGGCTGCTGAGGTCACTGTTACTGGGTGAGACAGCAAGGGAGGTGCCATGACTTGCCCAAGGTCACACAGCCCAGCCCTGGGCCCAGCGGAAGCAGTCACCCCCTCTCTGCAGCTCCTCCCCGGGAGCGGCTGCCAAGCCCTGCCAGAGAATGCCTCCTCGATCTCACGGAGGCATCACTGCGTCCTTTGTATGTTTAACAAGTATTTATTAAGCACCTACCACAGCACAAGCAGGGTTATTATTTCTCTTCCCCAGCTGAAGAATTGCAGGCTGCAGAGTTGGGGGTGTTGAGCGTGGGGGTCACACACCGGAAGTGACAAAGTTGGGACTCCAACTGGGGTCTGACTGGCTCTAAGTCCCCACTCACCCTGGTCCCCAGCCTGTGGCTTCGGGCCGCCCTCCCCTGCCATAGTGCCCTGCTCAGCTTGGTTGCCCGGACTCCCCCCGCCAGGCCCCGGCCCCCGCAGCTCTCCACGCCCTCCCCGGCTCAGCCGCTGGGCCCTGCTCCCCTGAGCCCCTCACTGCCTGTCAACCCGCTCAGCTTCTGTCCAACTTCATGAAAGAACGTGCTAACACCCATGTGTTTGGGGTGGCAAAGCCCGGCTCCGTCGCAGCTCTGTCACCTCCTAACGTGTCCTCCTTGGACCTCAGTTTCCTCATCTGCAACACAGGATGATGTTAAGAGCACCTGTGTCACCAGGCCACTCGTGAGGCACACGCGCTCCCCACAGCAGCACCTGCCGCTGTCAGGTGCACTGCAGGGAAACACAGATGATGACAAAGATGACAGTGATGGCTAGGACCCTGGACAGGGACAGGGAGCTGGGGAACCACTTCCACTGCTGGCTCCACCACTGACAGCCGTGGCCAGATGTTCCTTTCCCATTTTGCCCAATGGGGGCATAACTGCTCCTGGCCGGAGAGTGGGGAGATGTCATGGAACGAGGCGCCCAGCGCAGAGTCCGAACTAAGGCGGGACATCATGGCTGTTCCTGAGTCTGCTCAGCCCCTCATTCCCCGAGCCTCTGCTGGGCCTGGGAGGGGAGGCCGAAGCTCCAGCTCGGGGCAGTTGGGGCAGTCGGGCGTTTGGGCAGGGCCGAGGGGGTAACTCAGTGCACCCAGGAGGGGTCCTGCAGGGTGGGAGGATTTCCCTGGGGAACGGGCAGACTTCATCAACACCGTTGCCCATTTCCCAGCCCTTGAGCGGCTCAGGGTCTGCCCCATCTCCAGCTCCGAGGCCTGGACTGTCTGGTTGTGGGTTTGGGGGGTGACTTTCTGCTGTAACATGTGGGACTTTGCAGGGAGGAAAAGGACTCAAGCACCCAGGCCCATGGCTGTTTGAGCTGTGCTGTTTGAGAGTAAATGGGGTCAAGGACAGGCCTAGCTACAAGAGAAACTGGCAGGGCATTCCCACCCGCCCATGGCCTTCCGCAGGCCCTGCAGGCCCCTGTCCCCTGGGGTCTGCCTCCCTCCTCTTCATGAATCTGGAGAGCCCACGTCTTCCCCTCCAGGTGCAGCAGCTTCAACTTGGAGTCTCTATACCACTTTCTGCCAGTGTGACCTTAGACAAGTTACTTAACCTCTCTGGTCCCTGCACGCATCTTTAAGTGAAGCTAATAATAGAGCCTACTTCATAAGATTGTAATGAGAATAAATGGATCGTGCACATCACGTGCCCAACAGGGTGAGTGATCGATCGGGGCGTGTGTCACTCCCAAGGCTGAACACTGCTGCCTCTTGATTCTTCCCCTGAATTTCAGGTGCAGCATCCCAGAGCCCACCCAGCACCTGTCACACAGCCCCGTCAGTTTGTCCCAACACTGCACTGGGGAGCAAGTGGGCAGAGGCAGCGCTCAGAGTCACACGGAGCTGGGCCACGATGGGGCTCCGGCCTGCCTCTGGCAGGTCACTGCCATCTCCGGGCCTCAGTGCCTCCATGTGTAAGAGGAACACAGCAACGACTACCTGCAGGCTGGCCCTGAGGGTCAGATCCGGATTGTCGCGCAGGTGCGTGCCACACAGTGGATGCTCAGTAAAGCTGTTCCCCTCCTTCTTCTGGACCCCGCAGTCCCACGACACACCTAGCCCCTCCCCCACTGGCCGACTTTGTGACATTGCAAAATCCACGCAGAGCATCTGAGCATTTAGCGTGCATTTCCTCTGCACCGGCACCGTCTGAGTGCTTTACACTGATCGATTCCTATCATCTTCACACTGACCTCAGAAGAGGTCACTATTATTCCTATTTTAGAAGAAAATCAAGGCACAGAGAGGTCCAGCAACTTTCCCAAGGTCACACAGCCCATTGATAGTAGAGCCAGGATTTGGACCCGGGCAGTCGGCACCAGAGCACAGTGAGGAAGCAAGCAGCTCTCCTGCCTCGAAGAAACACTGTCATGCTGCATGCTTGCTCCCACTTGATAAACATTATCAAGCCCTACTATGTGCCATGTGCTGTGACATCATCCTCCTGGGGACAGAGGACTGGATCGTGGGAGCCAGGACCAGGTTCCTGAATTTGGGTCCAGCCAGAGCCTGGACACATGGCCAGTCTGGGCTCCACTCAGGCTTGAGCAGTGAGAGGTGAACAGGCTCCTTCCTCCCACTCTGCACCCCACCCGGCCCCCAACCACTGGGCTGACAAGCAAGTTCCCCAGAGTGTCAGGGCCAAGTCTCAGGGGCTGGTGCTGGACGATCCAGAGGCCACCTGCTCCGACCCACAGGTGCATCCTTTGTGTCACTGCTGACGCCTGGCCCCTGCCCCCAATGGAGAGCTTCCCGCCCCCCCAACAAGAACCTGTCCCCTCTTCCCTGCAGGGATCGGAAGGCGAGGGTGGGTCCCCAATGCCTTCTCTTTTCCGGAACAGCATCGGCCCCTCTGTGGTGGTGGGCTGCCACCCCCACCTCACTGTGGCTTCAGGGACCCGCTGTGCTTCCCTGCTCCTCCTCCAAAGTCACGGGCCAGTTACGCTCACTGACACTGGCCTGGGCCAGCGCGGGCCACAGGCCCAGCCCGCTCCGGTCCGCTGGGGAGAGACGCGCCGCGGAGACGGAGACAGGGCGTCCGCACAGCAGGCAGTGGGAAGTCGTGCTAATCGGTTTGAAGGAAAAGTGCAAGATGAAGCGAGAGAGGACAGGGGACTGGCTGGGGTCTCCGCAGGCCTCTGGGAGCGAGCGACGTTTAGGCTGAGACCTGAGGAGCAAGTGAGTCATTCGGGAGAGCTATGTGTCTATGTGAAATCGGGATATAGAACATTCCAGAAGTTTTGTGTGTTGAGAACCTACAGCGAGGCCAGGTTGCCGCCGTGGAGTGAGCAAGAGGCCCGGCAGCCCAGACGGCAGGGGGTGGCGAGGGCCGCAGGAAGCAGAGGCCCAGCTGACAGGTTTTGCCTGGTGTGGTCGTTTTGATTTTCCAGTGAAATCTTTAAGACAAACAGGAATCGGGAATAATACAAGCCCTGTGCATCCACCACCAGGCCCAGGAAATAAAACACCCCAGTACGGTCCCAGTGGTGCCCGCCCTCGCCCGGCCTCTGAGGCCTGCACCGTCTGAGCACCCGCGGTCACTGCGATGAGATGGTGAGGCGGGTCTCTGTGGCTGTCGTGCGGGGCACAGCCAGAGCAGGACGCTGCCAGAGAGGGGATGATGGCGATGGTGGCTGGAGCTGCCAGGATGGTGGCAGAGGGGCTCAAGAGAAGGAAATGGATTTGGACACGTTTGGGACAAAGAGTCCCCAGGGTTTGGCGGTGAGTTGGAGATGGAGGTGGGCGAAGGGGTGGGAAGAGTGACAGGTAACGGTAGAGACGGGCAGAGGACCAGGTTTAGGGAGCAACAGTTTCTAGTGTGGCCTAGGAGAGGCCAGATGCAGACACGCCCACTGGCTGTCAGGCCCTGAGCCTCCAAGACAGATCTGGGCGGGGCCGGGAGCGTTCGATTGTGAACACCCGATGACACGTCACACTGTGGGAGTAGGTGACCCCACTTGGGCCAAGGGTGTGGAATGAGGAGAGGAGAGGGTCTCAGACGAAGCCTCGACAACCCAAGGTGGAGGAGAAACTGCAAAGCTGGCGGAGGCCGAGCACCCAGAGAGCGACGGCCACAGCAGGGCAGCGAGGCCTCTGAAGTGGGGAGGGAGCTGTGAGCAGAGTCCCCAGGTTGGCCCTGCCCAGCCCAGACCACCTGCGGCCACTTCTCCTCTCCTGCAGCCAGAGAGTCCCTCACTCCGGCAGCCAGAAAGGGTGGAAACTCTTCATGGGCTCATGGGGTGAGGCGGGAGGTGCTGGGGGTCCAGGAGCAGAGGTGACCTCAGTGCAGCCCAGCCCACGTCTGCCCCCCCATAGCTGACCCGGCCCAGGCGGTGGGGCTGCTGGCCGTGGTGGCGTGTCTCCCAGAAATTCGGGGGTTGGGGCCAATGCCCTCGGCTCACACCACACGCACAGGATCTCCCTGAAATGCTCCACCCGCCCAGCAGAGGCATGGGAGCAGGGGGGGCTGAGCTCCCGCCTGGCTTCCCTCCCTGCTCCCGGCTACTAGGAAGAGGCCACCAAGTGCCACCACCCGCGGCCCGGCACTGCAGCCCAAGACAGCCACACACGTGGGGCATGAGGCAGCCTCACCTGCCGCAGGTCGTCACCGGGAAGTGGCCCAAATGCCCATCTGTGGCGCCGAGACAGCGTGGAAGGAGCAATGCGGGTCCCCGAGGTGTGTTTTTAAGCGAGAAAAGGCAGCAGTGGTGAGCAGGGAGTATATAGCTCCATTTGTGTAAAAAGGGAGAGGGGAGAAATTTATAGATACACATATTTGCTTATCTCTGCTTGTCTGTGGACGGAGACCCAGGAAACTGGCGACACTGGCTGTCTCTGGGGACGGAAAGCAGGCGGCTGGGGACAGGGTGGGAGGAAGGGTTCTCACCATATTCCTGTTTGTGTCTTTTTAATTTTAGAACCATATGAATGTATCTAGAGGGGAAAAATGCATGAAAAGTTTTAAAATTAGTGTATGCATATGATGCCTATGTGTATTTTTCAGGGAAGGGTCACAGCATTCAAAAGGGACTGTGACCCAGGAAGTCTGAGAACACTTCACCCATGGGCTGTGTGGCTTTGGGAAAATACCTTGGCCTCTCTGAATCCCCTCCATAAAGTGGGGATGCTGCAAAAGTGAGCAGCAGAGGGCAGGTGTCTGTAAACTGTAAAGTGCAAACACCCTTCTTGAAGGGGGTGACTTACCATCTGCCCTTCCTCACTGTCTACCCTCCCCTCGGCCAACTCCAGGGCTCCTCTTGAGCCCCCACCCTCCCAGCAGCTCTGGGGGAGGCCCCTGGCTGGCCCTCAGCCCTCACCTCCCTCCTGGGGTCCTCCAGGCCTGAGGGCCCCGTGGAGTTGCCCCTCAGCCTCCATCGTCCTGCGCTGCCCAGCCTGGCCACCCGCCTCCTTCCCCTCTCCCCAGCCCTCCTGTGATCTCATCCCTCGAACACCAGCCGCATCCCCCCCTGACACTGACAAGCAGTGACAGCAGACTCAGCTCCCGCTCGCGAGTCTGCCGGACGTGGAAGAGGCATCGCACACCCAGCACGGCCAGCACGGAGTGATGCCCCCACGCTCGCTCCCCACCTCCCCCCATCTCAGTCTGTGACCCCTCCAGGGGGCCACTCGGGTCTAACACCTGGGCATCACCCTCCCACCCTCCCTGAACCCAACCGAAGTGACAAAGGCATAACCGACACGCATGTAGCGTTCACTGTGGGCCAAGCATTGGGCCCTCCTCGGGTCCTCGCCACACCTGAGGATCATCATCCCACAGGGGGCTCAGGAGCTCGCCCAAAGCAGGTGAACCGCAGGATCCTGGCTGCTGGCCCCACACCCAGCCCGTCCAACCCGCAGGGCCGCGTAGCTACTAACACCCCAGCCCCCCACTCCCTGCAGTTCGTGCTCCTCAGCTGAACCTCCCCCCTCGTTCCCCTAGGCACCCAGGAGGAAGTCCCAGCTCCTGGCAGGTCCTGCCCTCTCTGCCCTCAGCCCCCAATGCCCCCAAGCCACAGGGCTTCCTTCCTGCCCCTTGAACACACCAAGTTCATTCCTGCCTCTGGGCCTCTGCACGCGCGGTTCCTTCTGGTGGAAATTCTCTTCTGCAAGACTCTGCGGCTCACTCCTGCCTACCATTCAGGTCTAGAGTCAAAGGCTGCCCTTGAGGTTCCAAGAGGTCCCCAGACACTCCTGGGCCAGTTTCCTGACCTTCCTACCAGCATTTACCAATCCAAACCGATCTCACTCGCAATGTCCTTCAGGGCAGGGACCCTGAATCTCAGAGCCTGGCACGCAGTAGACACTTAACAAACTGGCAACAAAACATGATAATTTCAGTTGGGCATAATTCCCATGAAGGGTCTGAGCAATGTGACCAAGGACATGACCAAGGAGAAGCGTTTATTTATTTATTTTGAGACAGGGTCTTGCTCCATTGCCCTGGCTACAGTGCAGTGGTGTCATCATAGCTCACTGCAACCTTAAACTCCTGGACCCCAGCAATTCTCCTGCCTCAGCCCCCGCCCCCAAGTATCTGGGACTACAGCCTCATGCCACCATACCCAGCTAATTTCTTTTTTTAGTTTTTGTAGAGATGGGGTCTCACTATATTGCTCAGGCTGGTCTCAAATTCCTGGGCTCAAATGATACTCTCACTTCAGCCTCCCAAAATGCTAGGATAACAAGCTCAAGCTATTGTATCAAGTTAAATTTTTCCTATTTTTTGTAGAGATGGGATCTCGCCATGTTGCTCAGGTGGGCCTCAAACTCCTGGCCTCAAGTGATCCTCCTGCCTCAGCCTCCCAAAATGCTAGGATCACAGGCTTGAGCCACTGCACTCAGCTGAAAAGCTATTCTTGATACTGCAGTCAGGGAGAACCTCCCAGCAGAGATAGCCTCTGAGTGGAGACCAAGAGACCCTCTGTGTCACTGGACACAAGCACAGTGGCCCTGAGTAGAGGGGAGAGAGGATAGAAAGTTTGAGGCCTTGGGCCTCTGTCTTATGCTCCACGGTAAGCACAGGGCTCTTCCCAGGTGTCCCCCAGGTGTCCAGGGGTGCAGGGCAGGAGGTCTGTCCAAGGTCCTGGCCTGGGGAGAAGCTCCCGGGATGGGTGGCAAGGACATGTGTGTGGGGCCTAGTGGGAGAGGACGCAGCAGACAGAGGCCTCAGAAGGGGCAGAGACAGTAGGAGGAAGTCAGCCCTGCCCTGCCCCAGCACGCCTGCTCAGCCACAGCTGCCAGGAACCGTCACTGATGGGCACCTGCCACGCGCAGGCAAACTGGCGAACGCTTCCTCATTTCTGACCATCTCCCCGCTGGCTCCTAAGGCCAGGGAATCTCGAACTCCAGAACCCCCCATTCACTCATTCACCGCCCTACATGCGTCCTGAGCTGGGACAGGGTCCGCCTTTCTGCCTGCTGTCTCTCCAACACAGCGCAGTGCCTCGCCTCAGAGGGCACGCTGTAAATAATCGCCCAGCGGATGAATGTTTCCTGAGCACCTACTATGTGCTGGGGGAAGGGAAGTAAGACACAATCCTGCTTTGCTGAGCTCCGTGTGTAAGTGTGTGAGGACAGCAGCCAGGGGGGCCGCGCAGCCAGAGGGCTTCCAGAGAAGGTCCCCAGGAAGATGTGGGCAGAACACCAAGGTGGACGGGCAGAGAGCAGGACACTTGGCCCGTGCAGGGACCTAGGCCGAGGGCTGGTGCACCTGGAGACGCTTCGGGGCCTGGAGCTGGGTGGGCCGCAGAGCAAGGGAAAAGAGGCTGCTTCTGAGGGCAGGGCGGTGGCATCCTGGAATTCGTGGCACTTCGGAGCATCCAGGGAGAAAGGAATCTGTACATTTGAGCCTCTGTCCATGGTGCCGCTGGGGTTTCTATACGGGGCAATAGCTTTCCAACTTTTAGACCAAGACCCAGAGTGAAAACAAACATACTGTTTTTTATTGCTACTTATTATACAATATGTATGTTTTTAAAGCTGAACTAAGAGCAGCACAAAATAATACTTTCTCTTATTACATGCTGCTTTGACATTTTCTTTCTTATTTCATTTAAAAAAATAAGTAATGCAACTCACTAAATCAATTTCACAACCCACTAACGGGAGGGGACCTGTCTGCAATTTTAAAAACTCTGGCCCAAGGGTGGCTTAGGAGCTGTGAATGGGTCGAAACTGGGATCTAGGGCATGTCTTGAAGCTGTGACCGGCCATGCTGGGACCACGGGCTTTTGCAGGCACAGAGTGGGAGGAGTTGTTGGAGGTCATGGGGGGATACTTGGATCAGTGAGCCCCCAGGCTCACAGGACCTCCACGAGCAGCCCAAACAGGGGTTCTTGGGGTTCTGGGTCCAATCTTTTCCCCTGGCCCTGTGTGAGAACCTTCTCCACCGCTCCCCACAACAGGTGCCATTTAGCAGTTGTTACACACCTCCCAGGACAGGGAGCTCACTCACTTCTCAGGCAAACCACTGGATTGTTTGGAGCGAGGCTCTGCCATGCTGTTGATGTGGCTGGTAACTAACTCCCTCCCGTGACTAGCTGGCCATTCTCCTTTCTGTCCCCTGGCCCATCATCTCAGGAACTGGGATAGCTCCAGCACGCAGCCATGGCCCTCTCTCTGCCCCACCCAATTCCCTTTCCTCTCTGCTGCCCAGTCACTTCCAGGTATCCGGGGGACAGCTCTGGAGCCCAGCAGAGAGAGGCTCTTTCCAAGATCAGGTGGCCTCAGGATCTGCAGCTGCATGGCTTGGTGCTGGCACTCAGCCACTTGAGCAGGTCTGGGGGGCTGGGGAGGCACAAAGGCTCAGCAGGGAGCGAGGGCAGCAGGATCCAAAGTAATGCCAGTGAGTGGGGGCGGGGGTGGGGCCTGGAAACCAAGCCCAGTAATTGCCACGAAGCAGCTCGTATCAGCAGCAGGTCAGGACATAGTCACAGACTCACAGGCTCAGGGCACCCTCCCAGTATCCCTTAGATGCAAAGGCACATGCCCAGCCCTATGGGGCAGAGGACAGGGGCCCAAAGAGGGGACAGAGCTGTCTGAGGTTACATAGCCACTCAGAGGTGGAGCTGGACTTGAACCCAGATCTTTTGTTTCCCATTCATGGGCCTCAAGTGGGACTACCGAGGACCCCGGGAGTGGGGGTGGGGAACCCCGGCACCCTTCCTGTCCTATCAGGAGCAGATGGGTCCCTCTGGCCTCAGAGTGCACTGTGAAGGACACAGCAGGAGGCAGCGATCAATTAGCAGAAGATTCCAGAGGCAAGTGGGATTCTGGGAGAAGTGAGCTAAGAGGACTGTGGCGGGACTGTGACTCTGCGCCCTTCGTCGGAGTGACTGCAGAGGATACCTAACGTGGTGCAAGATCCAAAGGACACCAAAAGCCCCTTCTGCCTGTCCCATGTCACCGCAGCCATCTCCCTGTATGGCCTCATGGAGTCCCCTGATCCCACCATCCCATCTGTCCCCCAGGTGGACTGGCCTGGGCTTCTCGGGCCTACGAGGGAGCTCCTGCAGGGCGTGGGGTGGGGGCTGGGAGAGGAGCTGCAGGGGCCAGGGGACAGCTTCGCTGAGGTGTCCCAGAGGCCAGATGGTGAAGCCTGGTGCTACCTCTGCCACCACCTCGAGGATGGGCACACCCCTGCCCTGGGGCCGAATCTCACCTTCAGTAAGACAGGATCAGCTCCTCCCTGCTCCTCTGTGGCCTAGCTGAGGTCCCCTCCCACCCCTGCTGTCTGGGTGGAGCCATCATGGGCTTTGTCGACCAAAGGAAAAAACCAGGCCCATCCCTCCAACCCCGCTGGGTGGTCTCTGCTACCCAGAGGGGCAAAGAGAGGTTCCCAGAGGTACAATGACCTAGTCAAGGTCATGCGGGGTCCATGAGGGCTGAGCTGGGATTCAATCCCAGGCCTGCTCGACTTGGGCCACCTTCCTCTTACTGCTGTGCCCAAGGGCTGCTGCCCCTGCCCCTCTCTGCAATCCGAGGACTTTCTCAGCAGAGGGGGCTTAACAGGTCCAGACCCTCCTCGCCTCTCCTCCTCCAAAGCCCATCGGTACAGGGAGTGTCTTAGAGAGAGGAGGGAGGCAGCAGCCCCACAGGCCCATTAGGGTGCAGACGAGGCAAGAGCAGCCCTGAGCTCAGGTCCGGCCCCAGCTCTGCTGTGTGACCTTGGGCAGCCCCCTGTGGTCTCTGGGCTGTCTCTCCATCTCCCGAGGGAAGTACTGGAGAAAAGGCAGATGCAGGGGCAGACTGGGAGCCCCTGGGGTAAAGCTGGGGGACTTTCTCCTTTGTCCCACCCCAGGGAGCTCCACTACCCAACAGCACCTCCCCTCTGCACTGTGGGGTCCCCCGCTGGGCCCCCCAGCAGGCCTGGACCAAAGCTCCCAGCTCACAGGTCACCATGACAACGCTGCCTTCTCCCTACACAGCTCAAGGACCACCTTCGGCAGCAGCCCACAAGGACCCTCTCCACGACCTGCCAACGGCTTGGAGCACCTCACCTCCCCCCGCCCGCTGAGGCCAGATGCTCCAGCTGAGGCGTGACAGCTGGTCAAGGACTGGCCAGGTAGCTGCAGGGAGGAGCGGGCGAACTGTCACAGGAGAGAAAGGGGA